ATAGTAGCGCATGAACATACAACTTCATTCATAACGGAAAAATGACGTCATCCTAAGAACGCGATTCATTTATAAAAGGAGCGCGTCAATGACGTCATTTAAAGCACGCGTCTTGTCTTACATGGGGGTGTAAGACAGAGTTTTCTAGCACCGGTGTAAACGGTAGATTATAAGAATCTTACACCGGTTGCCGGTACAGACCGGAATATCTAGCTCGAGAGTAACTGTTTACAGCGGTAACGAGGCTCTGTCGAGTTTCCGCTAAACAGTTACCAGAGAGCTAGATATTCCCGTCTGTACTGACAGCCGGTGTTTGATTCTTTTTCTTGCATGTGTCATGTCAATTATTTTCGGAACAGAAATTATGAAAACTGATATTCTCATTACGCACTTTTTTCTTATAGTAGTGTATGAACATACAACTTCATTCATAACGGAAAAATGACGTCATTTCAAGAACGCGATTCATTCATAAAAGGCGCGCATCAATGACGTAATTTAAAGCACGCGACTTGTCTTACATGGGGATGTAAGACAGAGTTTTCCAGCACCGGTGTAAACGGTAGATAATCCTGTCTGAGATGCAAGAAAATCCTGTCTGAGATGCAAGAAATATATATCTAATATGTTCAACCGGCGTTTGCATATTTTACATGTTCAAACGACGTTTGCAAATTAGACAATACGGGGAATGACATGGGATTACGTCAAATATAACTTTGCTCATGGAATTATAAATGAGTTAGGGACGGGAATGGCATGTCAAAAGACATATCCTCTATTATTTTACCTCAACATGTATTTCCAGTGAAAAAAAATGATAGGAAAAAGTAAAACCTATCGGCGTTTGCTTTGCGAAAAAAACATTTGTGTCGAAGTGTTCTAAAAAACTACTAAAGTATAGTAATGACTACTCACATAATATAAAAGCTTAATTTACGCCTGGTCCTAAGGTCTATGTCTTATTTTTGTGCTCGCAGTGGAAAAAAAGATATCTGCAAATATTTGCTGAAATGTTAAATCGGCGTTTGCATTTGTGGTCACGTGACAAAACTTGTTCATCCAGGGTGTTTAACCTAATACGGAATGAAAAGCGCGCCAAATAATAATACAACGTGGCGACATTTACGGCGTCACGTCATTAAGCTGGTACCCAGTACTGTGCACGCTGGTATTTCACTGACACAACGTAAGGGACCTAAATTCAAAACAGTGAAATTATCTTAGTGGTAATTTCACTGTTTCAAGCAGTAAAATTACCAGTTTTATATCACTGATATATTTCTATTAACCACCAAAAAAGCATGTAATAAAAAAAATATAATCAGGAAAATACAAAAAAAGAAGTATCTTTTTTTCCATTTAACAAGTCAATTACAGATTTTAGTGCGTCTGTTTTATTGTCACGGGGCCTCTTTCAATTCTTGTATCTGATTGCTTTTATCTCCCCTTATACCAGAAGTTTGAAAGTGAATGTGACTATATTCAGGGGGCGAGTGAGATGTCGAAATGTTCATTTCCTATCAGAAATAGCCGTTCTCCAAAAGGGTATGGAACGCCATAAATTCGAAGGGGAAAAGAAGAAAGAAATGTTACAACAATAGGCATCTTTGGCGTTCCATACAAGTACCTTAGTTTTGGTTGGATTTGATGTAACAGGTATGCTACAAATTTTGTATTGAAAATAATTAAATTACACAGCAAGCATAGGGTAAAAACCGTGCAACTGGAAGAGATGTATTTCAAGGTGATAAACGCTGAATTTACTGCAGTTGCAAAAGGTATAACTTTATCAGGTAGGTTAATCATGTTTGCAAACCTTCGTTAAAATCAAGTCTGTGTAAAAAGGAAATTTTCAAGTGTTTTCGCAACATTGTTTTACAGTTACATAGATATGCAACGTTTTAAGTTAAAAAAAACAAACAATCGCATCCGTGAGAGGGAGAAGTGTGCAATGACTGTTAAATTATCACGAAATACAAAAGAAAAATGCAATAACTGGCTTGTTTTAGCTTATGAATGTATTATTTAGAATTGATGTATTTACTAAAAAAAGAAAACATTTATAAAGCCAAAATGCTAACCTTTGAAGAGTAAACTGCTGAAATAATAACACAAATTTAAATTTCAGGTTTTAGTCTCACGGGGGAGTATTAAGTTTTCAGTAAATAATTTTGTCAATCAGATATTAATGTAAGTGGTGAAAATATCATGAACTATACATTAAGCCATAATTGCACCACAACTTTCAAATATATACTGTAGTAAAATTCTCACCGAAGTAATATGTCATGATGTCATGTCATGTTATGTATTGTAATAATGCAATGAAATGAAATGTCATGTAATGAATAATCAATGTAATGTAATGTAATGGGACTGGATTGGATGGGACGGGACGGGATGGGACGGGACGGGATGGGATTGGACGGGACAGGATGGAATGGGACGGGATGGGACGAAATTTGACGGAAGGAATTCTCAACTATACTCTTTACTGCGAGGTACATATCCAGCTCTTCTCCTTTCGTCTCAGCCACAGCCAGCTAGACGCACGCTCGGCAGCTTGTCTCAGTCTTTGGATTGTCCTACGTCTATCCCTTCCAGTAGTTCCTATCGCTGTCATCAGTCGGCACACAGATTGCGAACAGAACCCTCGCACACCTACTTCAATAGGAAACAGCCATGTATGCCAGCCTCTCTGTCTACATTGGTTGAGAAGCTCTGTATACCTTTGCTTTCTTCCTCTCGTAGGCCTCTTTACATCTTGTCTCCCAAGGTACTGTTAATTCGATCATGATGAGTTTCTTTCCTTTTTCAGACCATACAATATCTGGTCTTAAGTTGGTCTGGACAATACTTGGGAAAAACAAGCTTCTTGCCAAGATCCACCTCCATGTTCCAACCTGTTGCGCCATCTAGAACTGATGGTTGGGTGTGGCGACTGTGTCTTGGCAGTTTCACCCGGTTTCACAAAGTTGATCTGGCAAAGCTCGGGGTTACTCCTTCGTTCCTTTTTCCTTTCACCTTCAAGCCAGTCAGCCACCTCCCAAAGTACGTTGTCATGACGCCATCGGTACCTTCCTTGTGTTACTGCAGTGGAACAGGAAGCAAGGACAATCAATTTTTTTCTCAATGTTCTTGGTATGTGCTCGTTGTTTAATGATAAAGTTGCATATTTTTGTGAAAAAGTTTAACCTAATGTATGGATTAACAAAACAATGCCAGGTCTGAAATTCTTAAATGTTTGTCTGTTACGACAAAGACTGAAACGTCTGGTCCAATCAAAATAAATTGGATAACAATTAAAATTGAAATGATTGGTATACTTAAAATAAATTCAAGACAATGTGCCGAGAATATACCTGTTGTATTATGGGTCTATTTGTTAATTCATGTATGTACACAGATCGTACACTTGTAATTTATAACATAGACACGTGTTGCTAGTTCTATCGTTTAATGACCACTGAATGTTCCAAATATATAAGTGGCGGGATGATAATGAACATGCGCATTACAGTTTAAGATAGTACTTAGATTTAACATAATATGTATACAATATACAACAATACCCATTTAGATATTGGTACGAATTGCATAATGTTCGAATGATTTTGAGGACAAACTGTTCTGCAGGGATCACATTACAGGGGTTTGCTGTACTTGGGAGAACCGCCTCTCTGATAGTGGTCGTGGTTTAGGCTTTGTAAGTTGTAATTTAATAATTCAACAAGTGATATTGACCAAAGTTATCCTGGTTCCTTTCCGACACGTCAACGAAGACTTAATGCTAGCATATGGATCATAATATCAAATTAGATATGACAATTTAAGGGGGAACCGAACTTCAACAGAGGCGAAACAAATGAAGTAAGTGATACTGCCTCAGTCGTCACCTTTCTCAATGGTTAAGTTTTAGAACGATCGACTATAGACTGGCTCATTGGCATGTTATTTATTATGTAGATAAAATTAGATAATGATCAAAAGAATATGATATTTAAACATGACACTATCACTTCAGTTAAACGTTTATTCTAATCCCTTAAAGCTCTGTGACATGTTGTACATCTGAAAAGCTATTTTTATTAGACAATTTGGAAACGGTGTGATTTTGTTAAAACAAAAAAAAAATACTCAATAGGGTAGTTGTATACTATTAAAGCAATACATACAAAAGTTTTACGTTAAATATTAAAAGGTCAACAAATTTATGCGCAACGGTGAAATAGGGCATTTACCGACAGAATGCGACAGAAAGATAAATATGCTTAAGTATTAGGTACACCTATTAAAACAAGATCATAATTCGAGTATTGAACAAACATATCATAAGCTGAAATATAATGCAAATTTTGGCAACTCAAATCAAAATGATATTAGATAGTCACAGTTTCTGTGATCGTTTATTAGTCGTGTATTTGTTACGAACCCAAAATATTCCAATATATAGGTATATAAAGAAACATCTTTTTAACTCAAATTTGATAACATTTTGTTTTTTTGCATTGTTACTGTTGACTATGTTACCTGCCAATGTATTATGCTGGAAAAGTTGTACAATGTTTAAAACAAACAAATTGTATTGTATTTTATTGCATTGTATCGCTTGTATTGTATTGTATGAAAATGAATTGCATTGTATTGTACTGTATTGTATAAATTTGTATTGTGTTGCATTGCATTGTATTGTATTGCATTGTATTGTGATGTCTTATTGTGTTGTGTTGTATTGTATCGTATCGTATCGTATCGTATTGTAAACTACCGTATTGTAAACTATCGTATCGTATTGTATTTAACTGTATTGTATAAAATTGTATTGTAGTGTATTGTTTTAAAAGTTTTGCATTCAGGGTAAAATAATTGGATTATCTTGCAAGTTATTGATTCGCATTCGCTAACTCGTCTTACTAAACTTGTTTAGATCACAAGATTCTTCTTAAAGTTTAATGGGTGAATATGGGTCTACCTTTAAAATAGGAAAATAATCTTACCTTAATTATTTGTAACAATTCATCACTTTCGTCATTACTTTCATGAATCAAAACATAAACATCTTCATAACCGCCATCTTTAAGAATAGTTCCAGTTATTCTCAAAAACAATGACATAAAAATCACAAAACGCGTTGTATGCATTTTATTTTTCTTTCGTTAAGAGTCACCTTAGATATAAACGCTAAAAGTTTTAAATTCACGTGAAATACGATACGATTCACAGTAACGAAATATCATTGACAATTGAGATTTAGTTGGGTATTGTACTTTTTTTTATCTATTTTACTACTGCTGAATTTTAAAATGTGTATGTCCTTGAAGTGTATTTCACGGCATGTAACTTGCTGTTTAATATGGTTACCACTAATCTATCATGATGACGCGCTAAAATTACCGGATGTTTAAAATTCATGACGCTTTAAAAAATCCTGTTACGTTACCCAAAAATCATGAGTTCAGCCTATCCCTATATGAACATGTTTTTTCACCAAGATTGTCGTTCTTTCTTGATTCATTTATCTATTTAATTCGCAACATGTTTGTACACGAAATATAAATTTTAATATGGCCCACACATGCAAACACTTAACCAAATTCTATGTTCCTCCTTGGTACGTGTACGCCGTTGAGAGGCAAATGGCATCGGCAATAAATTTGAAAAAAAAAATCTTTGGACGGCAAAAGAAAAGAAAACCGGACAATCTGCCGATACCTTGATTTAACCGTGAGAAGAGACCCTACAAACTAGGTATGTCGACGAAGAGGAGCACTAGGGTGCGTGGGTTGTTAGGAGTAGTAACGTCGAGTTGAAAAGCGAACAATTCGTTTGACAACCCAACCTAAAAGTTACATGCCTCCAGATGAGCCAAAATATTTCAACAAAATCAAATGTGAGAAAAATGTACTGTGGTTTTAAGAAATTTAAAACGATTCGAGATTGAAGTAGAAATTTGTATATAATGTATGACTGATTTTGCAGTATTTATCATAATATTTCAACTGCGTGTGTAACGCCAGAAATGGCTGTTTTTACTTATGTTTACCTTTTTGATGTTTTTACTTATTTTCACTTTTTTTTTTTTTTTTTTTTTTTGGTGTTTGCATAAATCGTATGTGCCGTTTTCAACTTGGAAAAAGAATTCTTTGTTCATTTCTCATAATTAACTTTGTAAGACATATTTTCAAAATTTTTATGAAAATATGCATGTACATCGTTTCCTGTTTACTTTATAATATCTATATAGAGGATATTGAATGAGTGTAGTTTAATACTAAATTTATTGAACGAGTTGAATAAAATCATATTATGCGAGCCACTGGCGAGCATAATATTATTTTATTCAACTCGTTCAATAAATTTTATTATTACCAGATACCTTATATAAATGTAATTTAGTATTTTTAACTGTTTTCTGACATTCTGAAAACGTCAACGTTCGCGAACTGTTTTGACAGTTTCCCTCGCGTGCTCTGACGTCATTGATGTCATAGAGGATTCCCAATTGAAGCGTCCATCGATCATGATCATAAACCAGACGTGACGTAACATACTAGTAGTTAAAGTATTAAGTTTAATTATCAACATACGAGGGATGTCCGGAAAGTTCATATACATTTTCATTTTTTATGGTATAACAATACATACGCTGTACAAATTTTGTCACCATAAATATACATATCTAGCGAACACATTTATCAAAAATTATTGAACTGTGACACACCGTATTACCGGCGGCAGTGATGGCAGATATCTGAAAATTACCGATAGATACAGCTAGGTAGGTTATAAATTTGGTTGTTTTAATTATATTACACAAATACGGTCCATTTCATTGCTATAAAACTATTGTCCATTGAATGGAGATACTGTTAGGTAATTTTGGACTCTTTTTTTCCTGTTTTAAGACTATTTTGAGCAGGTTAAAAGTGACAGCCTCGGAAAAATCCGTAAAAATGTCAGTTTTCTGTTCAAAATATCTCACGTTTGAAGTAAATGGCAGGATTTCCTGTTATCAACATAGACGTTTATCCATTGGGGTCACGCAAGCCAAATATTTACCCTGTGAGTCTTTTCTTGAAAGTTTTACAGACGCTCAATCTTGTCCGGTCGAAGAAAAAATGCTGCCGTTGTAGGCTCATCTTTATAAGTTGTCATGGTTACAACTAAAATGAATGAAAAATATATAGTTAAATGGGAGTACGTAATGTTAGAACTGTTGTTAATAGTTTAGCAAAGTAAATGTAATTCAAAAGCAACCTACAACGCTATTACAAACATGAAAATTTAAAGAAATGAATCCACGTTGTCGTGTTTTTCAATAACTTGATAATATAGGAAAATATTTGAACTGTCAATAATATTATCTTTCCATTTTACATTAACATACATTGTTTTATGATACACTGATGCCAGTTGCGAGGTTAATAGTCTCCCCTTTATTACATCAAGTTAATAACTTATACTCTGCGCCGATTAAGTAAATTTCAGCCTTTATTTGTCATAAAGCGATGGACATTATTACCTCGAGAAATAATGTCATATGCTAGCAAATGCATAGTAACTTGCTGTAATATACAATTGGCGTTATATCTTAAAAAGGGAGTGCGCTGCTAAACTTAAGATACATATAGTATTGTATGCATGTAACTGACAGACACAACAGATCAAGCACACATACATGAATATAGAAAAAATGAATTTTTCATGTTCATTTCTCTATTTATAGTGCAATTTTGTCTTACTTGTATTGTAACTGCATGTTGCTAAAAAGCTTTTTTCGGTGCACATACCGCATTAATAACTTTTCAATCTTGAGAAAATATTAGAAATAATAGTTAAACGTCTCAATTCTGACTAAAAGGACGCAAAGAAAAGAAGAATTGATAAAAGATTGAACTTAATTTTCTGTCAGAATGTTAGCCACTTTCATGGTATTTCTGCCATCGACGGCAGCATTTATAATATGTATCTGCCTACAACGGCAGCATTTTTTCTTCGACCGGACAAGATTGAGCGTCTGTAAAACTTTCAAGAAAAGACTCACGGGGTAAATATTTGGCTTGCGTGACCCCAATGGATGAACGTCTATGTTGATAACAGGAAATCCTGCCATTTACTTCAAACTTGAGATATTTTGAACAGAAAACAGACATTTTCACGGATTTTTCCGAGGCTGTCACTTTTAACCTGCTCAAAATAGTCTTAAAACAGGAAAAAAAGAGTCCAAAATTACCTAACAGTATCTCCATTCAATGGACAATAGTTTGATAGCAATGACATGGGCCGTATTTGTGTAATATAATTAAACCAACCAAATTTATAACCTACCTGTATCGATCGGTAATTTTCAGATATCTGCCATCACTGTAGTGATCTGCCATCACTGTCACCGGTAATACGGTGTGTGTGACTTACGTTTGTATTTTAACAGTATTTACATACAACATATATACATCGTCATGGAGCACTTTGACGGCGTCAACGGCGTCAAATTAAACTATTCAATTTCTTCCGATTTAAATAGCCATGTCACTTGTCTGGCGTATACTTAATACATGTAATGTTCCTTTGCTACTACTTCATGAATTTCATATTTAAAATTATTATTTAAAACAAAGATGTCACTGGTTCCCATACCGTGTGTGAAATGTCTGCCTTTTTCAAAAATTGTAACGCAATCTACGATTTCTCGGCCATGCTACTTTTGGTCGTCTGGAGCGTTTCTTATACGACATCCTCTCATCACCGCTTCTTAATCTTGTTTGACATTTAAACACAAGTCGCCTTTAACATTTTATGGTTGATATTGTTTTTAAAAGTTAAGATTAAAATCTCAGTTGGCGCCATATTAGCGTTAATATGAAGTTAAATATCATTACGTTGCTCCGTCCGTGAATTTGACGTCATTTTTGCGACACAAAATTTACGCAACTTCATTGCCTATACCCGTCATTTACAAGCCGTTTATTTACGTATGACGTCATAATTTACACTAAATATCATGTAATAGTATCCTATGATGTCACAAAATTAAAAGGAGAGTTTGCGTAAAAATTACAACTTTTAGCAACTTATTATTTCGAGTAGCTATCGTTATGAAATCAAAGTGCTCCGTGATTCGTTGATCATGTTGCCATAGTAATCGGTGCTTTACAGCTTTTTATTTTATCATGTCATTTAATTTAGAAATATGTAGCAAATAAATACTTTAACAAAATATTCAATCATCATTTTGATATAACTGTTTATAATAATTTTATAGCCTTGTCTACGAACTTTCCGGACAGCCCTCGTATATGCAAAACTATTTTTTTTGTTGCAAGTACTGTTAAAACAGTAATTGATCAGATAATAAAACAGTTATTGCATACGTGATTTGGGAACAGTCAAACAGTTGTCCCTCGGTGTCGGGGATAGTGTTTTGAACTGTTGCCCTCGGCCTACGGCCTTGAGCAACAGTTCAAAGCACTACCCCCTCCACCTCGGGCCAACATTTTGACTGTTCCCAAATCGCATATGAAATAACTGTATAGTATTGCATCTACACGAATATAATATTCTTTTTATCACATATATAAAATAAGAACAGTAAACTGTTAAAATGTGTAATTTTTCAATGACGGGCCCATAGTATAACGCTAACATTAGCGCGCTTTAACGCTATGTTTATATATAACGCAAATGACGTCACGTCAAAGTGTTATTACACTTGTGTAATATCGTTTTTATTAAATGTCTTTATTACACTCCTGCGTCGCGGATATTGTGATAAATTGTATTATGCTCTTCATTAAAAGAAATATTGATAGATTCTGATGGTATGAGTCCGCACACGACTAATTTGTATAGTGGTTTATGCATATGCGCTACTTATTACGGCCCGATATCTCTACTGCGTTTATCTGCAGAACATTTTGACACAACTTGCGTGATTCGGAGTAACAAGCAGATACGATAAATCAGTTACACATTTTTGACCGTTTCTTCCCCTTTTAAGTCCGCTATTGTTCTATTCGTCCGTCTGTTTGCTCGTGCGTAATAAGATTCTGCAGTGCTTCGAACAGAACTTCAATATTGTCAATGTAACCTTAAACATAGACCGGGTGCTATACATGTATGCAGATAATGCACACTATTTTATTTATTTCTATGTTGAAAAAAACTGTTTGCTTTGGCCAAAGATATACTTGAAATAGTCTTGATAAAACTTAAAAAACGGTGATTCAACATTTAAATTTGTTACAGCTTTGGATACTCGGAAGGTCAGTTCACATGCCATGCGCCATAACTCTGGCCTTTGTTTTC